CGCCAGAACCAACATGCACCCATTTGAATAACTTCAGACCAGGCTAGCACAATTAATGTAACTTTACTGGAGAAACTTTAACATTACAGTCAAATATGAACAAGTCCAATTCTTAATCCTATAACAGTTGTGTGACTGCCCAGGGATACCTCTATAAGGTGATAGTCCATGCAGGTAGTCTCCATTGCTGGCTGTCCACTGGAACCCTGGTGTCTTTAGCAGACTGCTAGATGCAGTAGCCCATCTCATGATTTTCAATTCAAAACTCCCGCTCTGTTAAAAGGCCGGCAATGAGGTCACTATGCTCCGCCCCTAGGGGAGATGTCCTCTGTTCTTTCTATATGTGGAGTTATACTGTCATTGAAGGGGTGCCTGTCATCAGCTTGGTTGACCTGTATTAATTTTTGGGTCCACAGTAGGAGGTGAGTGGCCATCCATATATAATTTTAGGTGGAGGAACATTGAGTTAAGGTGGAGCACCACTTTTTCAAATAGACTTTATTTATCTGGAGCACATCGTAGTGATTCTTCACCGTTCAAGCACCTTATTTGATTTTCACCATTCAAGCACTGTATATGTATATTTATATTTCATATTTTGATTGAACTATCACATTTGAATCTGTTTATGGACTATTAAGTGTGGGATCACCTTTTAAGTGTTATAGCAGCAGCTCTATTTTATTAGCTTATTCACTAGTTTGATAGCGCACGTTGTTTTTTTTATTTATTTTGATTCAATTATCTTATTACTTTTGGTCCCTTGAAAAAGGGGATTTGGCTACACTTAACAGCTGTAATTCCTAAACCCTTCCTCCAATTTGGATGTACATACCCTCAAATTAAACCTGAGAGTGTGCACTTTCAGCCCATATCCATTATATACTGTAACTATAGCTTGAATATGTTTTGGTAAATACCTGAAAAAAACGAAAATTGTGCCTGTGTCCAAATAATATATGGACCTAACTGTATATAACAAATACAAACTTCAATTTTAAGGTCCTGTAATTAAAAATGTTTCATGTAGCTGCAATAATCTAAATCATATCTCCCATCATGTTACTTGCATCCTGAAACCATTGATCTGTGCTAGTGTGGAAAAGTGACAATCATTGCTGCCCACAGCAGATGTCAACAACAGTTGTATTACTCAGGAGAAGAGGGAAAATCTCCTTGACCAGCAAGGCAGATATTCCAAAATAAACTGTACATAGTGGTAAGCAGGGGCGGACTGACCATTTGGAAACTTAGGCACCGCCCGAGGGCCCAGGGTCAGTAGGGGGCCGCATGAGATGCCCCTGGTACCTTTTTCATAGGCTTTTTTCAACAATTTGTGTTAAAAACAGAAGTTTGAGTTGCCAACACTTGCATATACAGTATATGTAGCAACTGCACTGCCTTGTTAAGACACCTCTGTATAGTGTGGGCTGAAACTAGTCTTTCAGAGCTTCCATATCAGAGCATTTATTGCAGTTAAAGTGTTACTAAACCCAGGAGCCTGCATTCACTCTATCTGGTCTCCTACAGTACACACAACATGGAAATGCAATTATTTTAGTAAATATAAACTGCTAAATACCTTTTCTTATCAGCAGTTAGAGCAGTCTTCTGACTTCTATCAGTGTTCCACGGAGCACTGGTAAAGCTTGTAGAAGTTTTCTTTCTGCTCTAGTAGCATACAAAACCCCTGACCTCTGTCTGGGCAGTGCTGATTGGCCCTGTGGTGATAACATGCACTCTCCCCCCCAAAAAAAAACCTCTCAAGCAATACCCACCAAACTGAGCATATGCAGAGTGTCTCCACACGATATGTCTTATCAGGAGATAAGAGGGGGGCACTGGAAGAAGAGGATGATCAGATAAGTCAGGATCAAACATCCTTTTTATACAATGCACAGGATTAACCCCTTAGGTTCTACAGTGAGTATATCAAGCATGCTTTACTGCATATACAGACTGATTTTACTGTTGTAGGTTTAGTAACACTTTAATAAATTAAAAGCAGGTTTGCTGGAGGCAGCCCATTCCTGCTTAAAAGTGCAGAGACATCAGAAGCCCATTGTAGCTCACACCAAGTCATAAATATTTCATGTTACATGACTGCCTTGCATGAATGGCCACTAATACCATCTAATTAGTGGGCTTAATTACCACTTTTAGTAAGCATCCATGGTGTTTTTTCTGTAATATTTTTAAACCTTTGTGTACATTTTAGCTCAGTGGCTAGCTTGTCTGACACTTCTATAACTGTTCGCACATGAAGCACACTGGCTGTGGTTTGCACTTCTGCCTTGCAACACTGGGGCCCTTAGTTTGCATATTGGTCATCACACTATCTGCGTGGGTGTGCATGTTCTCCCTATGCTTGTGTGTGTTTTCTTCCACACTCCAAAGACTTGCCTCTTGGTTTAGGGGTCAATTGACTGTTCCCAAAATGACTGCCTCACCTCCAAAATTCATTTGAGTTGCCAGGGAGAAAAAAAGCTATAAAAACACAGAATAAATTTGCCATTTTCTAACTAAAATATAAATGACCAATCTAGTAGTTTGACAACTGCTTTTCGGAGAAGTCTTTCTTCTTGCTCACAACTTTGCTGTTACAATGTGATAACAATGCGATTTAATCTTTTAACTTGCATGCCTTCTTCCCTTAGACACAAATCGGCACAGAAAATGCAAAGGAGGTTGCTGTCACCACTCAGATCCTGACTTCAGAGCCTAAAAGTCTGCAGGCAGAGAACATCACAAATGCTATTAGGATTGTGAATAGGTTACTGATTCTACCAAATTCTACAGAAGATGTATGTAAAATGTATTTGTTTTGCTCACTTGATATTCCTTTAAAGTGAACCTGATCTTATTCAAATAGTACCTAATTGTCTTGATTTCTCTCCACGTTAAGCTCCACTGCCTCCTGGCACTAAACCAAGTCCTGTCAATCACATGTAAAAAGTTGAAACCTCAGAGGAGAGTAGAGGTTTTAGCATTAGACAGTTTAATAATGGGGTATGGCTAAATTTCAAACTGGAGAGAAGTCAAAGTCCTGTGGTCAGTCTGTCAGTCACCTAAATGAAGATAAGGGAACTGGCAGCATAAGTCCCCTTAATTATAGCATTGCCAGTTTTCAGCTCTTCTTACTTGGAAGCTGCGGGATGTCATGCCAATAAACAGTGCTCCTATAGTGTCAAAGTCCGATCAGTGCTTTTATGCTCCCCATCCAGCCATTTAGCCGCTTGAGTGACAGTTGCTCGTGAAGTGAAAGCTCCTAGGACCTGAGAGATTATTAGAAGCTACCAAGTCTCTCATTTTCAGTCTCTCTCTGCCCCCAGTCTTTGGAACTGGAGTGAGGAGAGAGGACCTAGAGGTCACTTGATAAATACAAAAATAAGGTATTTAGTATATTTTATTTCAATTAGAAGGGATGGTTTACAAAGACTTTAAGTTTGCAATAGTATAGTTGCCATCCTTTCAGTTCACAGATACTTTAAGCTTTTGTATTGTTACTCTTACTTTATAAAACAGGGGTGTTATTGAGTTAATTCTGTTATCCCCAACTAGTACTGTAGCTGGCTCACAGCAGATTGTGACATTATCTCTCAGCAGGTATTCTGCATCAGACCAACAGACAATTTGTTTTTTATTGAACGAGGAAGGGTTCAATCCTCTGTCACATTTTTGTTGTTGGTCATGTCCCAGTTTGAAAAAAAATCCTGTGGACCAATCCCGTTGATTACCCCAAGTGGGTGCAAACGGCAATAACAAATATAGGTGCTAATTATTTACCTATCTATCCAAAAGTAAGGAAAAAGATAAAAGTTAAAAAGCAAAAAACCTAGTGTAGCTTTTTTATTATTCCAGTGGAAATTTCATAAAAACACAAAACAATACTATACAGCTTTTTGATTTTTTTTCCCATGTGTTACACAAGTCTTACAGTATACCTCTTAGGCTGGCCATACACTATACAATTTTCTTTAGAAAATTGCTTTAGATTTACCAAAAAACATATAATATGAGGTCAAACCTAAACAACACTTTCAATTGTATCCAATTAGGCGGGCCCTGGCACTACACAGTTGAAGGTAAATCTAAAGAAAATTGGGCAGAAATTGGACAGAAAATTGTATAGTGTATGGCCGGTCTTAGCTATCATTGAGTGCAGGACTATTGTCATATGACACATTGGGGTTGGTTTACTAAAACTGGAGATTGCAAAATATGGTTTTAGTAAATCAACCCCATTGTGTAAACAATAATTGTGGCTATAGGTTTTTTTTTCTGCTTTTACAATGCTCTTTTACCCATATTGCCCACATGTAGATTGGGTCTTTAGTCACTTGTGTGAGCCCCCAGACCAAATTTTTCTGGTTCATTACTGATTTCAAGTTATGCTGTGCAAACATAATACTTTCATTATATTTCCTAGGTGGGCCAATCTGCAGTTGCCACTGTTAGTCAAATTCTGAGTGCTAATGAAACACAATTTAAAGATGATGACGCGCAAGTAAATGAAGCCACAATGTACGAAATCCTATAAGTTTGTATTGCCAATATCCTTTAATTAAATGTCTATATAAAGTTAATGGATCAGATAGTTCAGGCTGTAATATAAGGAAAGTAGAGATTTGCTTGTTAAAAGCAGTTGCTCAATTTTAAAAAAAATTTGCTCAAAATCTAAGACTAAATATTCATTCTTGTTGAAGCCCATTGATTACTCGTCTGCTGGTTGACTCTGTCCCTAAAATAAGAATATAAAATAAAGAGTCCAGTGCAAGAATATAGTTAGTACACACCAGGGACGGACTGACTATTTGAGCACTCAGGCACAGCCCGAGGGCCCAGGGTCAGTAGGGGGCCCCATGAGATACCCATGGTACCTTTCAGAGGCTTTTTTGGGTGTGTTTTGAGTTTGGGCGAGGACACAGGGGCTCCAAGATCCCCTATTGCCCGGGGGCCCCATGAGTCGTCAGTCTGCCCCTGGTACACACTTGTCTCACTGCCTGCCGCTGAATTCTGCATTGGAAGAGCCTTTAGAATGTGACACTTCAGGGAGTGTTGGATTCCTGGTTTCCTACTGCACACAATTGTTTGGTCATCCAACCCTTACATCACCACTGTGTCTGGAGGAACCAGGAAACTGACACTCCTTGATACAGTGGGGAAAATTATTATTTGATCCGCTGCAAATTTTGTACATTTGCCCACTTGCAAAGAAATGACTGGTCTATAATTTTTTTATCATAGGTGTATTTCAAATGATAGAGACAGAATATCAACCACAAATCCAGGAAAAACACATGATACACATGTTATAAATTGAGATGCAGTTCAGTGAGTAAAATAAATATTTGATCCCGAAACAAAACATGACTTAGCACTTAGTGGAGAAACCTTTGTTGGCAAGCACATAGGTAAAACATTTCTTGTAGTTGGTTATCAGGTTTGCACACATCTCAGGAGGTATTTTGGTGATTCTTCTTTACAGATCTTCCCTAAATCCATAGGGTTTCTTGACTGTCGCTTGGCAACTCGAAGTTTCAGCTCCCTCCATACATTTTCTATAGGATTAAGGTCTGGAGACTGGCTAGGCTACTCCATGAACTTAATGTGCTTCTTCTTGAGCCACTCCTTTGTTGCCTTGGTGGTATGTTTTGGGTCATTTTTATGCTGGAAGACCCATCTATAACCCATCTTCAGTGTTCTAGGTGAGAGAAGAAGCTTCTCATCCAAGACTTTACAATACAACCTCCGTGGTTGACTGCAGAGATGGTGTTCTTAGGGTCAAAGTCAGCATTTTTCTTCTTCCAAACAAGGATAGTCGAGTTAATGCCAAACAGCTCAATTTTGGTCTTATCTGACCACAGCACTTTCTCCTGATCCTTCTCTAATTTATTTAGATGTTCATTGGCAAACTTCAGACAGGCCTGTACATGGCTCCTTCTTGAGGATGGGGACCTTGTGGGCGCTCCAGGATTTCAATCCATGGCAGGGCATTGTGTTACCAATGGTTTGTTTGGTAACTGTGGTCCCAACTGCCTTGAGATCATTCACAAGCTCCTCCTGTGTTTTTCTGGGCTGATGGCTCACTTTTCTCATGATCATCCTTACCCCATGAGACGAAATGTTGCTTGGAGCTGCAGACCAAGAGCGATTGATGGTTAGTTTGTATTTCTTCTTGTGAATAATCGCTCCAACAGTTGTCTCCTTCTCACCAAGTTTCTTGCTTTTGGTCTTGTAGCCCATTCCAGCCTTGTGCAAGTCTACAATCTTGTCCCTGACATCTTTTGACAGGTCTTTGGTCATTTGCCCTTGATGGTGAGGTTTGAATGGAAGAAAGAGATTCTATGGACAGGTGTCTTTTATACACATGTTATCGTCAGGAGCACCTTCTTAAATTGTTAGAGCTAATCTGTGTACCACATGAACACATAGCCAGTCTGTGGGAGCCAAAATTATTGTTGGTTGGTAGGGGATCAAATCCTTATTTTACTCACTGAAATGCAACTCAATTTATAACATTTGTATCGTTTTTTTTTCTGGATTTTTGGTTGATATTCTGTCTCTATTATTTAAAATACACCTATGATAAAAAATTATAGACCCTTAATTTCTCTGTAAGTTGGCAAACATACAAAATCTACAGGGGATCAAATATTGATTTTCCCCACTGTATGTCAGATTCTTTAAAATTTTCAGCCAGTGGTTTCTCTTCAATAAAGCAGAGATTTGCAAACTGAGCAGTAGGAGACATGGCTCCAAATGATCTTTGCTGGAGACACTTTATTTTAGTACCTGAGTTGTTGCTTTAATATGTGACACCAGTATTTACGGAGGCAAAGGTAGGTAATTTTTAAAGGTGCAGGTAACAGTAATCATGAGACAAGAAAAAAGATATAAAGTATAAAGAGGAAGATTAATATACAGTATTAATAAATACACATGCTATGTTTAGTAATCTATATAAGAAAATCAGTAACTAACTTCCTTTAGTTTTATTGCGCCAAACAAGGGTTCCACAAAGTGGTCAATGTGACTATCCAAGGGTTCAATAAAATGGCTGAGGCCTAAAAAGAAGTCAGGGAATGTCTGGGGGTGGTCAATAAATGATGGAAGATCCTTTGGGTCAAGTACTCTTTTAAGGTCTCTGGAGTTCTCAACTCCAGTCCTAGTCCTGAAGGTGAGGTGGCTAGTGGCTGAAGAACTGATTACAGTGCATTTACTAAAAACCTGCATTGTAATAACCATAATATCAGGAAATGTAGAATCATGGCTTTGTTTACTAATGAAACAATGCCCAGTATGTGGAAATAAAGCTTTCAGTATTAATATTATGAACCTTCAATATAATCTTTTGATTTTCATATGATAAACGTATAGGAATCTGGAACTTTATGAAGGTGTTGATCAGCTAAAGAGTTTGTGGACCTCTGCTCCAAACTGAAGAAAGATGAAATGTGATAAATTGCTTCTATATGGTTTACTGCTCTTGGATTTGCTTTATGTATGAAGTATAATTTGTATTTATTTTTTTAGGCTTTGAGATTTATTTTTTCTTCCTCTGTTTTTTTCCCTTCACAACAGTCTAACAAGACAAATGGAAGCATATTCTCTGAATGTTGCTAATGATACTTTGTCAGTGGTGCAGCCAAGCATTGCAGTTGAAAAACGTACCCTGCCTGCTAGAAATCAAAATGGAATCCAGTTCATGTCAATAAAAGGTCTGGTAGATGAGTACGGCATAGAAGACATATGCATTTTTATTGTCTGTTCTATTCCAAAACACACTTAGTAATAGTTAATTTTATTATACTAGTAATAGTTATCTTTCTACTTGTCACAGAGTGACCTGCCTCTACACTTCCATGGCAGCCATCCTGAACAAAGGTAGCTTAGTTAGGTGAACAGATGCCAAGAAAGTAGTCCTTCCCTTTCAAAGCCACCTTTGAATTTTTTCTTTTTTAATCTAACAGTGAATTTTCAAACCCTTTGCAGACCCTAACAGCCCCCCCCCCCCCTTTCTCCAGGCTTCATAGCAGCTGCATGGACTGCTATGGCAATTGTTATACATTTAGTTTGATTCCAAACGCTTTAGTGCATGTATTATTTCACAAAACGTCTTTCAGCCATGTGATTGTTATTTGTTGATCTCATTAAAAAGATGGAGGATCCCAGATAGGTCAGGAAACCAAGCAGAAGAACCCTTAGTAGATGTAATGGCTAATCCAACACTGAATTAATCATTTCTAGTAGTGATAATGAAAATATTTTACCCAACATAAGAAACTATACCTTACAGCATTTCTCTTTGTGTTCAGGCCTGCCAGGAAATGATGACTTAATATCCAACAGGATCAATAGTAGACAACAATACTTCAGAGTTTGTGCTTAATGAAACAGCAGATGTTCAACTTTTCATAAAACCATCTGAAAGTAAGTTGTACATAACAGTTCAGGGCAGAACAAAAGACCTATTAAAATCATGATGACTAGCTTATTTAGTCTACATTTAAATCCCATGTTGTCTTGGGTTCTTAACCACTTGACTCCAAATCATGTATATGTATGTGATTTGGCGTTAAGCGGTTGCTGCAGGCACCATCCTGGTACTGTTTTTTAGAGATGACGGCTGGCTGTCTTATAAAAGCAATCCAATCACACCCCCCCTTGCCATCTTCCACAACCTTAACAGGCCCATCTCACCATGACACCCAATCAACCAGCTGGCATTTTCGCCAGATAATCATAGAGCCAAACAAAGAGCGGAACCGCTCCGTTTGACTCTATGATATAGGGACCTGGAAGCGATGTCCTTACATCATTTTCGGTTTACTCGGATTTAAATGGCGCCATTTTCAAAAATGAAAAGCATTAGATCACACTGATCTTGGTGTGATCAAATGTTATGAGGGCAGAGGAGGGATATGGAGTCTTATTGACCTCAGGTCTCCATACAGAATACCTGTCACTGCCTATTGCTGTCACAAGGGATGTCTACTTTTCTTGTGACAGCAATAATAGTGATTTAAAAAAATTAAAGCGACAGTGTAAAAATAAAAATAAATAAATTATACAAAACATTTAAAGTGACCCCACCTTCCCATTCTTGCGCACAAAGGTGAACACACGTGTCAGTCACGCACGCACGCAAGTAGTAATCATCCCACACATGTGAGGTATCACTGCAAATGTCAGGTCATGGGCAGTAATTGTAGCATCATACCTTCTCTGCAAATCTAAAATGGTAACCTATAAAGGCTTTTAAAATGTCATCTATGGATAGTAACATTTTCATTGTTTGTCGCCATTGCACGGGCGTGCACAATTTTAAACCATGATGTGTTTGGAATCCATTTATTCAGTGTAACATCGATGTTGGTGGAAACACATGGGAAACTGTACTATAATATCAGACCAGCGGCCAAATCAGCTGCAGATGGGGAACTATCTGTCCCTCAGTAGCATGTAACAAAGGTGAAGGGATGCTGGTGACATTACTGACCTAATATGGCCACATGGTTGAAGCACCCTCCTAGGAAAGCTTGGGAGAAGTAGTTAAATATTTTTCTAGACAGGAGGCTGAAAAGCAGCCAGGAGAAATAGCCAGAGGGGTCAAATTTGGGTAAGAGCTGGGAGGCTCTGCAGATCATCTTTCTGAAACCTCCACCTGATCTACAGACTTGGAAAGTCTCTAGAACTCACTGGGTGGGAGTGAGGAGTGGCTGATCTGTATGCTTAAAGGATCTCAAGCAATCCCCAAGCAGGAGGCTTGGAAAGGGGATGGGACAGCTTTTAGGCATAGCTGAGCTTGCTCAGTAAGGGGGAGAGTTTGGGTGGAAGATGGAGTGAGCAGGATGTTTGTGTGGAGCCTTGGAGGGTTTCCAAGAGAGGGGCTTACCTACAGGCAGGGGAACTGTAAGGGAGGTCTCTCAGCCCAATCGTCCCATGAGAGAGGACAGGCTGATAAGCAGGGAAGGAACGAGCCCAGCATAAGGCCTGAAGGCAGACACCAA